TTGTGTTTTGAGAGACTTGTCGCCTCATGCCTACGTACCCACACAATGCAATATATGATCAAAACCTCGTGGTTCGTGGTACAAATAACAAAATAGGTTTATTATGGTTGATTTTAAGTGAAAAGACAAGTCGTCATTTCCAAGCAAATAATTTTGCTTAAAGAGATGACTCATCTAAACTTATGGAAAAGTTTTAAAAGAAAAAGTGCATAAGGCATAAATGGTTTGAATGAGTTTGAATGTTTTTATGTATTTTTAAAAAGAGTCAAAGTATGATTAACATTGATTGACATTTATTGAAGAAAATGAAGTTTGAAAAAAAAAACACTTGACAAAAGTCAAAGTTTTATTGTAAAAGAGGTTATAGTTTGAAAACAAGAAAGATTTTGAAAAAAAGAGAGAATATTTTGTAAATTAAAGAAGGGGTGGAGAAGAAGGGACTGTTCTAGAGTAAAAAGATAAAAGCTAAGGATAAGAACGGTCTAACCACACAAGTAAGCTCCATATTATAAGAATTCTTCCTTTAGATTAGGCCTTGATCAAAATAAGTCTTCAAAAGAGAACTTCAAGTACCCAAAATCCAAAGTTTGACATCACAAACTTCCAAGTATAGGTTAAGATCCTAGTTCTAAGTCCAAAACTCCATGTCCAATGCAAAAGATAGTAACCATAGTCCACCATTAAGAGAACACGTTTTTAGGGGTTTAAGTCTTTATTAATGTTTTTGGTCCAAATGAACAAAAGAAAAAGAGGGCGGAAGCACAAACAATAATATGATATGAGATGATAATAATGGAGCATAAAAATAAAAGAGAGACAGTGAGCAAGAAGGAAGCATAAACAAAATTAGTACAATAATATTGTTAGTGAGTTATTGAATACTCGTTAGAGCAAATGATCAATGATGGTTAAATAATGAACTTAGACCAAAGTTAATGAAGACTCATTAGAGGATTGATAAAATCAAAGTCTCCTAACAACAAGTTTCATAAGTAATGGACCCAAGACAAATAATCAGCCATACTTGGACTTTCAAACATAAGTTTGAGCCACAAATGATCATTTTCCAATATAGGACAATTTAGCGCTATGTTAAGCAATCCTAATCAGGCTTATGTAGAAGCCACGACTATTTGGGGCCGGTCAATAAAAATATTTGTACTAATGTATGCTAGAGAGACGATATGTAGATCGTCCTCCAAAAGCAATACTGTACGAAAAGAAAATAGGTAACGACCTCATCTTCGTCAAGAACTAAAATATAAGTTCCAATGATATTGAAGATTTTCATTGATTAAAAGAAAATGAGAAATATATGAAGAAATGTCAAATTGAACCACACGAATATGTAATACAAGGCAAAGAACAAAAGAAAAGGGAAGGAAAAAGAAATGGAACCAAAACAGTCCCAAAAACAAGCAAAAATCACATTTTGATCAATGGTTAATCGATTAACCATTTGTATGTGCAAATGTGTTAATCGATTAACACTGCTAAGACAACACAAAAATTTTGAAAAAAAGTCAGCATCCATGATCCAACCATTTCTTCAAACACCTCATGATCATGAGTGAGAATTAGCACAAAAATTCAAGTAAAACAACATCAAATATCACCAATAAAACACAATTTGTAAGATCCAAAGATCAAGCAACAAAAATCAACAACAGATCACATTATGAAATATGGATTAAGAACAACAATGGTGGAATGAGGGTTTACCATTTCAAATCTGAAATTGCTTCAAATTAACTTCAAGAACCACACTCCAAAGCCTTGATCTACTGAAATTGATGATGAAAAAGTGATTAGATGAATGTTTTAGCTCAAAAGTTAGTAAGTCCCAATGAAGAATTTACTAACTCTCAAAAGAAGAAAGAGCTTTGGTAAATTTTGTGGTTGAAGGGAATTGAGAGAAATTTTAGCAAAGTGAATTTGGCTATTAAAGCTTGAAGAAAGAATGAAATGAAGCCTCTATTTATAAAATTTAGGCTTGGAAGTTTTGGTGATTTGGAACCAAAATTAGGCTTGGAATTTGAATTTGGAGGCAAAATCAAGATCAAATAGTGATTAGTGAAGGTGTATGGTGGGAATCAATCATGATGTGGTAGGGGAATTAAAATGAAGTGATCTAAAATATTCTCATGATGAAATATTTGAAAATTGGTGCCAAAATGCTACAAAATTTGAATTTGGCTCATTTTCACAAAAAATGCATGGTTAATCGATTAATCATTTGCATGTACAAAATGTGTTAATCGATTAACATAGTGAAAAAGTGTGAAAATTTACCTTTTGATGTGCTGTCTTGGTTTCGACTCGATTCTTTTGACTTGTCAAAGAAGGCATGGAAATAAACACAAGAACCTTGAAGTCAATTGAATAAAAGTCAATCAAATCTTGGGAAACACTTGATCAAATGATTTGAATTGCTTGTATATCAACTTTGACATTGTTCAGATGAAATTTATTCGAGACGAGGAACTATTGATTGGTGTTTTTAATCCACACCTCTTTGTGAAAAAGAGTTAGTAAAGAAAATACAAACATATTTTCGGTATTTTGGTTAAAGGTTAGTAAACATAAACATACAAATAAATGCAAACAAGAAACACACAGATGCTCAGTGATCCCTGCAAGGTATAAACCCAAAGATGAGAGGGATAGAGGAACCAAAACATGATCTTGTTTGTGATGCAAATATGCAAATGAGATGTGGGAAATATTAGGGGTAAAAATTAGGGTTTTACAATAGGTAGGTGGAAAGATGACATCTCTGGACGCCGCCTCTTAACAAAAGTTGCCAGCATGCCGTGGTTTATGGTCATGTAAGTCGAAGAACATAAACCTGTAAGCACGGAATAAAAGATAAACTACGCTATAATTGAAATATCTAAGCATGCAAAATACTACGAAAATTAAACACAAAAGTAAGAGAGAGAGAGAGTACAACGAAGTTTATAGTGCTTTGGCGTTCGTCCTCACTTTCCTTACGTGAACTCTTCAGTGGTTTCACATTGGAACCTGCATTGTTCCTTTTTTATTTTGACAAATATTGCAAGAGTTCATACAATTATTAATCCACAATAATATTGAGAAAAAAATTCTCCTATCTGGATCTTGACTTGTATATAGTGTAATGCCAAACTTTTATGTGTAATCTTTACTCGATCAACGCTTCTTGAATATTCCAATATCACCGATTTGCTTCAATCCTTCGTGTGTAGAAATCACCCTTTGATCCTACCGATTCCTTGAGCGATGAATTGTCTGAAGAATTGAGAAGAACTCTGCCTTGTCCGTAGTCTTCCACACAGTCACTACCAATGCAATATGGAGAAAAGAACCTCATTCTTTTCACTAGAATTTTTCAGCACCAACATCCCATCGATCTTGCAAGCTACTTGAAAATCTAAACCAAATCTTCAAGAAAGATTAGTTTCAAGCCGACGTTTGCCTTAATCTATTACAAATTTCTCATGATCAAGATCTGACATTAAACTTATGTTAAAGATGCAAGAGTTTCGTAGCAAATGTTTTGAACTTTCAAAAATAGAGGGTGTTGGTTTCATAGAAAATTACAATGTTGATTATGAAATTCACACATTAAAAATGAAGACAAAATAATTTTATATGCACTCGAGATTAAACACAAAAATGGATGAAAAAAGTTGGTTAGATTTGAGTTAAGTGCATTTCATGATTTGAGTCAAATGAGCAAGTAGTGTGAAACAAGATCTTATAAAGAAAGTGACAAATTTTCGTGTGATTTGATTATGATTCAAGTCACACATGTTCATGATTCGAATCATGCGTTAAGCCCGATTCGAGTAAGACAAGTCAGTGGCTATCAAGAAGTTTGTGATTCGAGTCATGCATATACTATGATTCAAATCAAAGAGTTGCATGATTCAAGTCAGGTGGAATTTCTGATTTGAATCATAGACACCAAAATTTTCTATTTTGCCTCTGTTTTGCTTTATTCGAGTTATGGATTATGAGTGATTCGAATCACACACAAGAAATCTCAATCTTTTTAAAATTTTCAAAATATTATGAGATTTCACTTCTCACGTGACTTGAATTGATATCACCTATGATTCTTGTTTCACTAACTCAAGCAGTTGACTTAAACCATCATGATAAAATCTCAAATATAACAGTTGACTTATGCATGCTAAAAATGAATGGTCTCAAAAACTTGATTCAGAGAGGATGTGCAATTATGAAGGAGAATCAATAAACGGAAATAAATGAAAACGAAAACGCTAAGACAAGTAACAAAACCACCATATTAGGGTACTCCCCTGAATATATTAGGAACTTGAAACTACAACTAGCCCCCTGAACCAAAAACTTACGAGTTAGATGGGTAGAACAGCTTGGACTGATCCAAATGTTTTGTCCGACCCTAATAAACCTATATTATTGAAGTTTAAAGTATATGCAAAATCACGTAATTTTTAAAATATATATCTCAAAAATAATTTTTATAAAGAATTATTCAAATTAGCTTTAAATTTAAAAATTTGAAATCTAAAAATAATATAATAAAAGGATGAAATACTAAGAAAAAAATTGTTTGAATTAATTATTTTGAAGTGTTTTTTTTCCTTTCAAAATCGATTATAATTTTAACAAAAATGTGTTAGACTATAAAACTTATTAAATTTTTTTTTTTTTAAATTTCTAAATTTATTAAAAATTGAAACTTCATCCATACTGAAAAGTAAATTAAAGATAATTTTGTTTCGTCCCTAAGTATGGATGAAGAAACTTCATCCACGTACGTAATAATAATAAGTGTGAAGAATCACTTGGTTTTCGTTTAGGACACATAAACTCCAAACCAACTACCAAATTTTACACTGCACTGGTAATAATTAAATCAAAATAACGAATCCAAGGAAGAACAAGATTCAACGTCCATGCTAAAACAGTGCTCAAACTCTGAAAAGTTCCACATTATTCTCAAATCCAATTGAATTCATAAACAAACAATGTCATCAACGAAGGACCTCGCGAGAATCTTCAATGGCCTCTCCTTAATCGCTAACGAATTCGCCAAACGTTCTTTACCCGCCAGAACTTCAGATTTCGAAACCCTAATTAAGACCGCTCTTATTTCCGTCACTAACATCTCCGGCATCACTAAGGGAAAGGTCCGCCAATTCTCCCAACCTCAACCCTCTCCTTCTAACACCACACGCGCTTCTTCTTCTGATTCTCCTTCCATTGTTGTTTTCTCCGATCATCCTTCTTCTCTGCCTGATTCAACACCACCACCTCCAGCACCAGCAACAGCAACAGCATCAGCAACCATAGAAACCATAGAAACAGTAACAACCAATGACATTTCTGAAGCGAATCACGCCGTTGAACCTTCCGAAGCAACTGTTTGTACCGTGGCGGTGAATGAAAGTGAGGTTGTGAGCTCTAGTGAAACGCTTAAGCAAAGTTCACCTAAGAGTGAGGAAGTGCCGTTGAGGAAACGAAGACCCAGGGAGAGGAGGGTTCCTTCTACTCCATTTACTAGGGCTCTTGGGTTAGTGTTGTTTAAATATATGCAAATTTCACTATTATTTTTCTGTTCATTAGTAGAAACAACTCACAGATAAGTTTTATATGATAAGTACTTATTGAATACATGCTTAACTAATTTGATTATCCAAACATTCTCATGATGGTTTAGGTTGTGATGTGTTAGTATTTGCTTATTGCTATATCTAAAACTGAAGGATATATTGTCACTACCGAATTGCAGGTTTGCTGGGCTAGGAGCTGGTCTTGCATGGGGAACAGTTCAGGAATCTGTCAAGAGGCTTGCCTATGGTACACCTACTTCGCAAGGCAATCAATCTGCACTTTCCCCATACTTGTCTGAAAAAAATGCCGAACGATTAGCTCTTGCACTTTGCAGAATGCGTGGAGCCGCACTCAAAATTGGGCAGATGTTGAGCATACAGGACGAGTCCCTTGTTCCTCCTCCGGTACTGTGGTTTATTTTTTAACACCTATGCTTGTAGTTTGACTATGCTTGTAGTTTGACTGTTATGCAAAAACCTCATCTAAAGTGAGAATGTTTCTTTTATCCACATTTGATTTTTATGAAGATCACACCGCGTCTTAAATTAAATGAAGATAGATTCACTATTACTTCCTCACTTCTAAAGAGAAGCTCACGTCGGTGGTTTCTACATTCTTATCAACAGATATGATGTACTTAAATATTTATGTTGTTCTCGAAGAGGCATGACAATAAGTAAGTAGGATTGTTAGCTGATGCTGTGCAATTTCAGTAGAAGTTGGGATACTTTGTTATGTTTAATCAAAACCAAAAAAATCTGTCCTGAATTTTTAATGATGAAGAATTAAATACCGAGTGTTTTTGGAAAACGCTGAATTTTACATAAGAAAAATGTATTTAAAGGAAATTATTACTTATTATATATAGTAAGCAGACACCATTGCATCATTTTCAGCACTCAATTGGAAGTTTTAATAGGTTTCAGGTTTGTTTCAGTACAGTGAAATTTTATTTGATACACATGAACCTTATATTAAATGTCAATTGCCATCAGCTGTCACTTGAATCCTTCTTTTATATTGTTTGTGGTGTCTTTTGAACAAAGGTTAATGTAATATTTTCTGCTTCCATATCTTGTATTTCTAAAAATGCCAGAAAACTAAATTAGTACAATATTCTACCCAATCAGATATGCTTTTGCTCTTATTGAAAGCCCATCAGCTCCATGAAGAAACCTAAGAATGACTTTTGTTTATATATATGTGATTTGCAAAGTAAACTCTCAATTTATTTGTAGATCCTTGCTGCATTAGAAATTGTTCGTCAGGGGGCAGATGTTATGCCAAAGAGCCAGCTTAATCAAGTTTTAAACGCTGAGTTAGGTCCTGACTGGTCATCAAAATTGCATAGTTTTGATTATGAACCTTTAGCTGCTGCAAGTATTGGCCAGGTATTGAATTCTTTGTGCTTTTGGAGCGTAATTTCTTTCTTTCTAAAAGATCATTAAGTTTTTATCATTAGAAAAAATGATATGCATTTTACTTCTTAGAGATATGTATCAAAATCATTCATGACTTCCTCTTGAATCTCAATCTTTTAGCGGGAGTTCGTCTTTGATTTGATATTAGTGACTCTATGACCAAGTACATATAAATTTGATCATTACTATCCCTATCTTCTTCTTTAAACCAAATTGAAGTTTTGTAGGATAGTTTACAACTGAAAATTTTCATGAGAAGGCGTGCTAGAGATATATTAAATTTTTTAGAATTTGGGTTAGGCCTAACTCATCCCTACAAAACCGACTTGTAAACCCGGCTGGCAATGTGATGGCTGCCCAAACTTTATAGACACTACACATGCCATATCATATCTCTAAGCAATGTGAGGCAAAATCCACCCCTTCAAACCCAACACAATGAAGGCAAGCCAAATGCTGCAATTAGGAGACTAGGGCGGACCACAATAAAGGCGGAAATTCCAACATACCCCCTCAGGCTCGGTCTCAATGAGCCTGAAGCGTGGACCATGCGGGAAACCCAATAACATATCTATGATAGTTTTCTGATACCATCTTAGAAGTTGGGTTGAGCCTAACTCATCCCTACAAAACCAATTTATAAGGTGAGAGCTGCCCAAACTTTATAAACATTACACATGCCATATATCTAAGCAATGTGAGACTAAATCCACCCCTTCAAACCCAACACAATGAAGGTGTTGGAGGCTGCAATGAAGGCAAGCCAAATGTTGCAATTAGGTGACTAGGGGCGGACCGGAATGAAGGTGGAAATTCCAACAAAAACCATTGAGACTTCACTTACAAGTTAAGCTTTTAGCAGAGCTAGTCATTGATACGACGATTTATTCTATATCTTGAATACAATAAATATTTTGTAATCATGTTTCCATCAATCACATTTAAATATATGTTAATGTGATGAGCTTTGAAAACTCAATATTGCTTTCTTCACTAATTTCATAGTCAGAATGAGGCGACTTTGAACTAATCATGTTTCCAATGAAGGCAATTTGCATTGTCGTAATCTTAAGAGCAATATCATGCAAACATTTTTTTCTAGCTCTTCTGTGCATTATAGTCGTATTGCCTAACAAGTCCCTCATGAAATGCAGGTGCACCGAGCTGTCATGAAAGATGGCTTCCAAGTTGCAATGAAAATTCAATACCCTGGTGTTGCAGATAGCATTGAGAGTGACATTGAGAATGTGAAGCTTCTTTTAAACTATACAAATCTAATTCCCGAAGGACTTTATCTTGACAGAGCAATTAAGGTGCATGTTTTTCAATGTAAATCATTTTGTTTATTTCAATATCCTCATTTGAAGAACTCTAAACCTGCAAAATTTTTATTTCTCTTGCCTCCCTTTGCTTTTCACTGATTGGTTTTCCTTCAAAGTTATAAGTTAGACCTTAAAGCTGTACGCCATGTTCTCTGTTCTAAATTGGATTGTGCAGGATGATATTCATCTGTAGTGGATATTGATCCAGAATCACTTTGCCCATCATAGAAAAAGACATCTTCCATAATTTGGCAAGTATATCTGTCCATAAGTTAAAATTTGTGTTTGTTAATTTATCCTGTATTTTTTTCTAGGTCGCCAAAGAAGAATTATCTCGGGAGTGTGATTACAAGTTGGAGGCAGCAAATCAGAAGCGATTCCGAGATCTTCTTGCTGGCACAGAAGGACTTTATGTTCCAATAGTTCGGGATGATACTTCAAGCAGAAGAGTATTAACTACGGAACTTGTTCATGGTAATCGTAATAAATTTCATCAGTTTCTGTGATACATAATTAGAAGACAGTCTATGAAATTATTCCATTTTATTCAAGTTATTTATAGCTTGTTTTTGAACATGGGATTGTTTACTCTTGCAACAGGAATTCCAATTGACAAAGTGGCATTACTGGATCAGGAAACTCGTAATTATATTGGGACCAAGTTGTTAGAACTCACATTGATGGAGTTATTTGTATTCCGATTTATGCAGGCATGTCATTCCACCTTCTGTATAAAGTCTGTATGTGTAAAACTATTAAATGCCATTGTTGACACACTGACCTACATCATTAATAAGAGAATTCAAGTTCAAGCATCGAAAATCTAAAATGTAGCTGCTGGTATTTTATGACAAATTTTGGATTAGATATGTAGTTCAGGCATTGCTTAAGACAAGTAAATATATTTTACTGTTGAAAGACTCCAACGAATGTGGCAAAGAAGTAGGTTTGGGGTTAGGGAGACACTATTGATATCATCTTTACTAGGTATGGGGTGAGGCACTATTAATATCATCTTTACTGGCATAATATCCTTCTCTCCTCATACTATCTGACAGATTTGTTATTTACATGTTAGTCTCTCCTAAACGGGGAATCGGCTCATAGAAGTTCTTCTAACTAACTGGATCTAGAAGCCATCGGGTAGAATAACTTTCCTGCTTGGTAGTAGTAGCTTCACTTTTTAGATTGCTAGAGTCAAATCTTCCTAATTTTTCTCCAAATACAGCATCTCTAAAAAGATATATAGAATGAAGTCATATTTATTCTAATTCTCAAACAGCTATGTACTTTGTATTCATCAGATTTACTTTCTGTTGTGTTTCAGCTTCATGCTTTTCATTGTTAATATGAAGTTTTCCTTTCAACCAAGCATCTCAAAATCTGTTTTTGGTGTATTTTCTAACCTTGGAGGTGTTCTTTTAATGCAGACTGATCCTAATTGGGGTAATTTCTTATATAATGAAGCTACGAAGACAATCAATCTTATTGATTTTGGAGCAGCACGAGATTTCCCAAAAAGTTTTGTTGATGATTATCTAAGAATGGTTGGTTCCTTTGCTTTGTACTTTTTCTTTTTCATATCTAACTATGAAGATTTGAAATTTGAATTCGGTTTATTGTTTCCTCTTTTTAATTCTTATGTTTGCTGAGATTTGAGCATTCAAGCTAGATAGTAAAAGATGTCATCCCTGGTTGCTTTTTTTTTCCCTATCTTAAATCTTTTTCTCCTGTCATTGAAAATAGACATTACATTATGCTGACTCTGTTTTGACGGGAAGTAATCAGATTTTCATTTGAAAATTATCATTTAGATTAAATGTTGGTTTAATTGAAGATGACATTTATATAGGAGTAGGACATGGTTAAAGATTATGTTAATGAGGTTGTGTATGGCACATTTTCTAAATTTTAAAGAAAATAGTAAGGAGATTTGATGGGTCTGTCTAGTTACTTTCATGAGACCTTATAGTTACCTTGTTTTCACTTTATTTTCTGTTTTCAACTTCAAATAATGAAATAAAAAATAACCTTTTTGTAATTAAAAGGAAAATTAAGAAACAAAAACAGAGAATGGAAATAGAGACCAAAAAGATAATGGGACAAGGATAGGACATATCTTAGTGTTGGGTTGGTCTGGGCCAGATCATGTTCATCCCTAATTATAACTACAACTAAGTGACCATTCTGTTCTTTCATTTACTACAGACTCTGACCTCAGTGCCTTCTTTTTTCTTATTCAGATTAGTCTAGTATGTTATCTTATTATGAATTATTTGCATTCAATTGCGTATACTTTCTCCTTCCACACGATAAAAATTCTAGTGCTGCTTTGCATTTTACCTTTTTCTTAAGATGAGCTGCAAATTCATGAATTTTATCACTGTTGATTTTTTATGATGCATAACTGATTAGGTTGTAGCATGCGCAAATGGCGATAGTGATGGTGTCATTGAGATGTCTAAGAGGCTTGGGTTCCTCACTGGAATGGAATCTGACGTGATGCTCGATGCCCACGTACAAGCTGGTTTTATTGTGGGGTTGCCATTCTCAAAACCTGGTTTATATGACTTCCGATCAACCAATATTACTCAAAGCCTTAGTCACCTTGGGGCAACAATGCTGAAGCACAGACTCACTCCTCCGCCTGATGAAGCCTACAGTCTGCACAGAAAACTTTCCGGTGCTTTTTTGGCATGCATCAAGATTGGTGCTGTTGTCCCTTGTAGAGAACTATTGCTTGAAATGTATAAGCATCATAAGTTTGGTGAAGTAAATGATGAGTTATTATCCAGTGGCTCAGTGTCTACGTAGGTGCTGTTTTAATCCAATTATATTTTGCCAATCATAATAAGCTGCAGGATCTTGTTTGTGACAAGCTCCTTAATAATTATACGTTCATTTGTACCGTGATAGAGTCCTTTATGGGGGAAATTCTCTCACTCTCCGTTTGTAACTGCAAGTGTAATTAGAATTTTTCTAAGTGATTCGTTTAAAGGTGATCGATTCTTTCAAAAATAATGTGTCTGGGTGTTTTCCATGTCATCCTTCCCTTAACTTATAAATATTCATTATTAGTCATACTGGCATGCATAATGCATGTGCCAGTTGGTTTTTCAGAAAAAGAACCACTATAATCTTTTTGCTTAAGCTTGTCCTTGCTCGACCAACCATCATTTATAATTGTTTTCATGGCCACTCATCATCAACAATAAGTGGTTAACTACTTGATGTTATTATCAGTATTTTGCTACATTAGATAACTGTTTTTTTTTTATTGAATTACATTGGAGGGTGCTAAATGGGGAAACTACTTTCACATTGCTTCTGGCTAAATTTAAACTAAAACTTTTTTTTTCTTCTTTCTGTTGTCAATATATGCACAGTTCTTTACCTATAAACCAAGCATATATATAAATAATTTCAAATAATCAATTAAGCTAAGCCAACTTCAAAAACAAAAACGCAATTAATGTAAGTTGATAGTCATAGATGTGTCTTAAGGTAGAAGCAATGCATAATTATGAAGAATCAATTCCCACAATAAAGTGGACAAAGCAAACTAGAGAGTAGAGACAGTAAGGTGGAGTGACCAAGGAAGAATTTACCCTTTTTTTTGTATATATGAAAAAATTAATACTACCTATCAATCATGTGGTGTTAAAAGAAAAACCTAAAAAGGAAAGTGTAATTTATGGATGAGATGATTGCGATCTTTGATTCCCCTGAAAGCTACAGTTAAACGTGATTGGCTCCGTTAATGCCTTCAAACTCATCACAAGCATTATATATTTGATAACCTAACATAAAAAAATAAAAGAGAAAAGAGAATGATTTTTTGTTTATAAAAATAATAATGACACAAAACAAGACGCTAGGAATCAATGAGTTAATTTATTTATAAAGTTCTTGCGTAATTTATACGATATGAAACATAGATTAAACTTTAATGTATGAAAAAAACATCATCATAACACACGACAATGGTCTAGAATGTTTTTTTTTTTCTTTCTAGTTAGATAACCTTTTTTGTTCCATCCAGTATAGAAGGGAAACGAAAAATGTTTATTTAACGCAAATCAACAACACTCAGAAACTGTGAGTGTGAAGAACCTTAATAGTAGTTAGTGGCAATCAATCAGTATTAGAGTAGACATGAGAATGAAGCTACTGATTTTGTTTACATGCTTACTTTCTGGGTTTATCTCCTCTAGATCTGAGACACTGTTTTCTTTTTCACAAAACGATGTCGTCTCACCTAATCCATTGCAACTTCTTATGGTTAACCTCACTCTCATTCAAGGAGCTGATTCCAAAGGAGCTGGTATCTCTATCATTCTCTTTCTTTCTCACTTCCTAGAACCTTATATATAATGTATCCTTTTATGTTATGAAATGCCACATTTTGAAGCTAACCCTTTTCTTATCTCTTAATTCGGAAACAACCCTTTTATTGTTTTGATTGATTACTGTCTGAATATGCCTTATAGTGGTGTGGTTTGGAGCTATATTATGTATGCTTTTTTATTAATATACTGACATAATCACTTGCGAGATTATTAGAGAGAGCTTATAGAAGCAGTTTATGCAGTGTGCCATGTTTATAAGTTGTTTTTGGCTTATTTCTATAAACTCTACGAAATAGATTATCACCATGTGTATGCTTGTATGAGTTGATAGCATAGAAGAACCAATTGTGTTAAAAATAGTAAAGATTTTCTCCAATGCATACATTTGTTACTTGATCTCAAATCTGTCAATTTTGTCTCATAACCACAGTCTGTTTGGATGGAACATTGCCGGGTTACCATTTGGATCGTGGATTTGACTCTGGTGCAAATAGTTGGCTTATTCATCTCGAGGTATGTAAAATAATCTCCAACCTTTAATATCAATTCTTGCTTTAACTATATTGTGGCTACGGCCTAACTTTTTTTTTTCGGTGCTATTTTCGGCCCTTTATGAAAACCTGCAGGGAGGAGGATGGTGTAACACAATCAGAAACTGTGTGTATAGAAAAAAGACTCGTCGTGGTTCCTCAAAATACATGGAAGATCAAATACCTTTCACGGGAATATTGAGTAATAAACCAGAAGAAAACCCTGGTATTTTCACTTTATCCTATACATTTTTTTTTTCCGCATTTGTTGTTTGTTGTTCAGTTTAACTCTTGCCTCTTTGAGGCTGCAACTTATGTATACTCAAGTCCGTGTTCTAACTGTCAATGATATGGACATAATCTTCCATTCCATACACAGATTTTTTTAACTGGAATAGAGTCAAAGTAAGGTACTGTGATGGAGCATCTTTTACAGGAGATAGTGAAAATGAGGTCAGTGAAAGAATCAGTTTTCCCCCTCTTATCCACATAATTCCTATCAAAAGCTGTTATTGAAAGATAGATACTTTGAATTTATCATTGCGTGACATGTGTATGAATTTTATTCTTTTTACAGGCTGCAGGGATTCAATTTCGTGGACAAAAAATATGGCTAGCTGCAATAGAGGAATTAATGTCTCAAGGAATGCGTAATGCCGAACAGGTTTCCCGTTTTGCTTGATGTTGTTATTCGATGATCTTAATATGCATGAATTCTAATATTCTGTAAATGTGTATCAGGCCCTTCTGTCCGGATGCTCTGCGGGTGGTCTTGCATCCATAATACATTGTGATGAGTTCCGGAGCTTGTTACCTAAATCTTCCAAAGTGAAGTGTTTTAGTGATGCAGGATTTTTTCTTGATGCGTATGTTCAATGTTTTTATTTCCGTTACTTCTATCTTGTTCCATCGACATGAAACTTAGATAGTGGATGATATGTTCAATTGTGTAGAATTGATGTATCTGGAGGACGCACATTGAGAAATCTGTTTGGTGGCGTAGTTCAGTTACAGGTAGCATTTAATGTAGCTTCGGACTAATCTAAAGAACTATATAGTAGAAAATAGGATTGGTAAACGTAGCTTCCATTAGTTGTTTTGTTTTCTGATGCAAGGTGAAGAAAATCTGTACAAATATTTCATATATCCTACTGTTTTGATATTGTAGGAAGTACAAAAAAATCTGCCAAAAAATTGTCTCGACAAACTGGACCCAACTTCGGTAATTCTTATTCTAGATGTCATGCTATTGGTAACTTAAAATTACTCCAAACATCCAAATTTAAATACTCATAGTTTCGCTTTTCAGTGCTTCTTTCCTCAGAATTTGGTTGAACATGTTGAGACACCGTTGTTTCTACTCAACGCAGCTTATGATGTGTGGCAGGTAACACGGACTAATGCTAATACACCGTCTTCTTACTTTATCCTGTATTACATTAATGATATACATCTTCGTTACTTAATTTCATCAGGTCCAAGCCAGTTTAGCCCCAGCGACAGCCGATCCTCTTGGCTCTTGGAATGATTGCAAATCAAACCATGCAAATTGTAGCTCGGCTCAAATTCAGTTCCTCCAAGGTGTTTTCAATGTCTAGTATTGTTGTTTGAATAATGCAAAAAACATTCACGCACATAAGTGAAATTCGCTAGTTTTGTTGCAATAAACACATCAACTAATTTGAATCATGCACAACATTACAGCCATTGATGTAATCATATGATTTCCTCGTAACGTATTGTATCTCTCCTTTGACACAGACTTCAGAAATCAAATGGTTGACAACTTGAAAGACTTCTCAAGACCGTCTCAAACTGGACTTTTCATAAATTCCTGTTTTGCTCATTGCCAGTCGGAGAGACAGGAGACATGGTTCGCGGATGACTCTCCTCTTCTCGAGGACAAGGTATATATATATGCTCAATTAAAAATAACTCACCGATGACTTTAATAACTTGGATGAAATAATCAATAAGCTTTATGTTTTTCGCTTTTTCTGTTATGCAGCCAATTGCAGTTGCTGTTGGAGACTGGTATTTCGACCGAGAAGTTGTCAAATCTATTGACTGTCCTTACCCTTGTGACAATAACTGCCATAATTTGGTGTTTAGAAGAGTATAATATATTATCATCTCTTCATAAGTTAAGGTCACTTGTGTATTTAACATTCATTAGTTATGTTAAGACCATTCTTAAAGGATTATCATCATTTTCTTGTTTACTGATAAATAGCCATGTCAAGAAGATTCATATTCATTACTTTTCGTTATTTATTATCTTTGCTTAGAATATCCAAAAACGAAAAATGAAATTTGGCATCAGCTACCCTCATTTTTATCATTGAAGACATAATATTTTTCGCCTTGATGAATGAGAAATGATATGCACACATGGTGTCCAACACCTTATTTTTATAATGTTTGATTAGTGTTTTTTTTTTCTCTCTCTTAGAATCACATTAACAGTTATCAAATGAGTTTTTGGACATTTTGGTATGGATGATTCGAATGATTTGAATCTTCATGGAACATGATTCAAATTATGCAGCAAAAATATAGTATATTTGGCTTTCTGTATAGGGTGATTTGAATCAACCTTCTGAGAATGGTTTGATTATGCTGTTTTTTCTGATTTTATTTAAAAGGAATTTAACAGGTTTAATTGGGGATAGGGAGAAAACATCAAAAAGTAGGGTTATAAATTGGAAGCAATTCTTTCATAAAAAAAATAAAATTGGAAGCAATTCTAGATTTGGAAAACACATTGGAAATACTTTACCTAGAAAATTTTATTTTCATTTTTTAGTTTATAAAAAAGTTATGATTGATTGTTCGTAACTACGTGTGTGTTATGTTAGTGTTTATTTAAGAATTTTTTTTAGAGAGTAAGTTTTTTTTTTGGGCTAAACTATGTCAATAAAAAGGTTATTTCTCTACTATTTTAGTCTTGGGATTACTTTTGACAATCTCAAGGTTCGTTTGGTTGGGAAGTTTTGAAGGGGAGGCGATGCAATATTTTAAAATAGGTGTGTTTGATTCAATTTTTTATGAGGGGGAGGGGAGACACTTTTTTGTTCTCTCAAATGGGGGTTTTTAGAGGGGAGAAAAGGGAGAGGAGTTATGATAACATCTATTTTTATTATATTGACAAAATTATCCTCACTTTTGTTTAATAAAATTTTTAATTGTCTTTATTAATATTATATTTTAATTTTTGTCACCTTATTATAATTTCTCCATTTGTTTAACGGCAAGTCCATTGTTTTTATTATTATGATTAAACTTTTTTTCCGATGTGTTTTATTCTATTCATTTTTATTTAATATTTTGTTTGTAATAACTTAATTATTTTATAAGTTGTATTATATTAGATATCAATATATAATTGTAGTATGAGTTATATATTATGTATAGGATTAAATTGATTATCAAGATGAGAAAATTGTTCATATGATCATTGATCATATAATGTGATTTTATGATGTTTATCGGTATTTCATTTTTATTTTAAGATATTTCAATAGTATTTTAAATGTTAAATATTTGTGTTTGATTATCTATATTTTTTTATGAATTAAGAGTTTTTTTTGGTGAATACTATTTTTTTGAAAATTTATTTAGCATGAGTGTTATAATATTTTAAGGATAAAAAGATAAATTAGTTTTAAAACCCCTCCCCTCTCCTGTGAACCAAACATATATTTGAATAAAACTTCTTCCTCCCCTCCCCTCCCCCTCTTATGAACCAAACATACGTTTAATTAAAATACACTCCCTCACCTCCCATTCCCTCCCCTTTATTAAAATTCCTCTCCTTCCCTCTCCTCCGTTGAACCAAACAGACCCTTAATGGTGCTCATGCACCCTAGTGAAAAATAAAAAATACTCATAAAATTCAGAAATTAACCTTTGGACGCACAAAAAAGCAACCAAAGACAAGTCTCATATCTAGACCATTACATATATGAATATATACAAAGGATAAGTTTCATATTTTTTATGGAGGTTAAGTTTTATACGTGTTTGATTCATACAAGGCACCAAACCTCCTCTCTTTCTTTTTCTTCATTTTATTTCAAAGAGTTTACTTAAAACTCGTTAGCAAACTTGTCTTTCATCATTTTCAAGCTTTCTTGCTACTTGTATTGCATTACATTCGAACCTAGGACATCAATAAACCTTTACTCCATTCCATTCAATCGAAAAATCCTCGACTTCTCACATTTAGTAAGTTTTCATTTTTTTTCTTTTTGATGCACTAGTTTGAAGTTAAACACATAATAAGTTGTTTAGTGAGACATCATGTAGATTTGTTGAATTTTGAAGTTAGAGCATTTGGGCACATGCTATGCTTTTCTGGGTTTCAGGAGAATACATAAGTTAACTTCCAATTTTTATTGTTCTACAATTCGAAAGTTAACTTCTAAATTTTGTTGTTCTGCATTGGTTTTCTGATTTTGCTAGCTCTGTGCCTTGGGTTTGGCCTATCTGATTATGATATAATTTTTCTTGTGTATTTATAGGTAAAATGTCTAACAACGTATATAGATTGAAGTAGAGTGGTCTAACATGCTTTCGTTCGGAGGGAAAGAGTTAGATCCTCTCGTCCAGCCATTGGCGCCAATTCATTTGATGCTGAAACACTGTCTTCTAGAGTTCACATGTCTCTAACATCGTCCTCACAGAAACATGAATCCCCTGCTCCCGCCCTAGAAGTCCAACATGTTGTTGTCATTCTTGATGTTTATCCATGAGACCTCTTAGACACCTCACAATTTTGTTTGTATGCATACCATGTTGCCAGGCACAAGTGGGATAGAGAGGTAAAATAAATCCATATTTATTCTTTTAAATAAATGTGTTATAAACTATGAAATTTCTGATGTTGATGTATTTTTTTTATAACATCGTGACTCGTTGAAATGTATCAATTATAATAGGAAGATTGTGAAGCTACCATAACCTGATGAACCATGGTTTACAAATGTCATGCAACTATCTAGGTTGCAAGATTTATCCAGGACTAGGTATATTTTTATCAATCATGGTTTGTTGTATGCTTTTATCGAGAGATGGTACTCATAGACATCTTCATTCCATCTTTTGATCAGTGAGATGTTTATCACACTTGATGATGTGTCACCCCTTTTACATCTTTCGATAAAGAGGAGGTTTTTAAACAACTCCAGACTCACTAGATGAGGCATTAAATATATGGTGCAATATTTGGGAGCTGACCTCAATAATGCCCAACAAGAGATGAATGACACCAAAGAATGTCATGCCAAGTTTAAATTTGTGGAAAGGTTATACAAATACCACATGGATGCGACAGTTGAGGCCGATAGTGATGATGCATAGGTAGTTCATAATAGAGCATGTGCATTAAGGTCATACCTTTTGTATTTGGTTGACATGTCCATATTCGTGGACAAAAAGTGCACATTATGTCGATGTCATCTACTTGAGATACTTCATTGGCTTGGAGAGGATTAATGAGTACAATTGGGGGGCCTCTTGGTGACGATTGTTAATGGAAGACTAGATAAATGACATCAAGCAACACCCTGTTTACACTAATATATTTGTACATTTGCTGTTATAAACATTTCATAACACTTGGTGCTATATCGTTACTAATATTTCTTATGAAACAATTTTCAAGCATGGATCCTCCAACACTTTCCACGCCTCTCCGAATGGACATATGTGGATGACTATGACGAGGCTTTGCCATGTGCTTGCTCTTTCATCCCGCTCAAAGGGTATCAGATGACCGAACCGTTCAGAGTTTATCTTGACTGCATCGCAACAGATGATATAAACATCACACTGTACAACAATAACCGTGAGACTGTCCATTCGATGAGATATCTCTCTACTCTGAATGGTTGGCTTTTCAGTCATGATGAATGTAATGACATCTAGCTGAGCAAGTCATTCTCCAGTTCGAGTATATGTAGGGTGTTCATAGAGCCCCTACCGCTGCTCCTCCTCCCACAGTCCACCACAAAGATGTTGATGAGATATTTACGCAATACCTTGATCATATAGTCCTAGAGGTTGTACGTAGTGTGTCAGCTCCTCACTCACAGAGTTATACTTCTAGCTACATCCAATGGTTTTTCAGAGTGTCACATTCTTACATGAAACCAGATGCATAGGGAAAGCCACCTAAGTAAGCTCATCATGAGATATTAGAAGAGGAGCAGGCTATGACAAATCATGTCGTTGTTTTGCTACTTGTATGTCAACGTATTGTAACTATTGAGCGAACGGGTGAGAACATCAATCCATTTATCTTTGTCTTTGATTTGATTGTTTTAATTTTTATTTTCACAATGATTCCATATTCGTTTTTAGTTGAATCTTTACTTTAGTTTGGTTTCCATTGTTATTTTCTTTACTTTTCATGTCAAGTACTCAACAAGTGACTATATCTGGGAATTAAAACAAAATTTTTAAGTGTACACCATGAATACTAAATTGGATGGCGAGAAATTTTTTAGAGTAAATAATTTTGGTATTTAGAAAGTGAAGATGAAAATAAACTTATCCAATAAACATCTGCATATGTTTTCAAGGGTGAGGTAAAGATAAGTTAGAATTTTATGCTAGAGTGTGTAAGAGATTTTCAAAATATTATTTAGAAGTTTGTATTTGTGTGTATATTAAGCACAAATTACTACATTGTGTCTGGATGTCCTACCTTTGATGTTTTTAAGTTTATTTTACTAACACTAATAGTAATACAAATTGAATTCAAAATGAACTAATGCATGGTTCAAACCCGCGACTTTCGAATTAAGACTAATGTCTTTGTCAATTCAACCATTGCAATTCTTGTGAAATAATATGAGTGTTATAATAATATAATAGTTTATTATTTTTGATAAAGAATTTAATTTAAAAGACATTTCTCTTCACTAAATGACATAAACTTCTTTATAGATAGAGACACTTGAGAAACATAAATAAACACAAAATTAGACTTGTACTGATTCATTTCTCTCATATTGTAATCTTTTTAAATCATCATTCATTTCATTAATGTACGAGTGAAGTGTATGAATATTTTTCTGTACTTGATTATTGAATGATAAACTTGGTGTGTTTGTGCAA